TTCTGCGCCGCCACCGGGAGCGAGTTGGCGAGGGTGGCGATGTTCTGCGACTCGGCCGGCTCCAGCATGTCGCGCGGGCCGACGCGCGTGCGCACGCGCACCCGGAGGCGGCGCAGCTTGCGGTCGGGCGCTGCGCGCGCGCTGCCGGCCGCGTCCGGCGCCCCGAGGGCCATCGCCGCCTCCAGAGGCGTGGGGGTGGCGGGGGGCGCGGCCTCGTCCCACAGGTCCACGTCGTCGTGGGCAGACGGCGCGGAGCCGACGGGCGCGTCGCCGCCCAGAGAGGGTTTGGCGGGGCTGGGCTCCGTGCTGAGGGAGTTGGGGTGCTGTTGGTGCCACTTGCCTGTCCACTGGCTCTCCGCGCCGCCCGCCTCAGGGTCGTCGTCCTCGTAGCTGGCTGTAAACGGCCGCCGGAAGTCCCCCACGGCGCCCGAAGGTGAGTCTTGAGCGGGTTCCGCGGCCAGGTAGTCGTAGTAGTCTGGTACTGCGACTGACGGCTGCTGAAGAACCTCGTTAGCCTAGAAACATTTTACAACTCTCACACTGGGACAATGACATGGTCAGCAATGGGACTGAACGCTGAACAAAGTAGGTGAAAGTAGAAAACGTTCAACCCCTTACATGCGTTGTGAATACTTGGCTTGTTTTATTTTACAAGTTTTTTGTGAAAATATTTCTTGACATAATTGTTAGTCGTGTAATTAAAATAAGAACGGTTTACTGATACCAAAGAAGATTTCAAGGCAAAGTGCACGCCGTTACTTATTAATAATTATTTCAACATTTGTGCAGATTATGTCTTTTCAAAATATGAGTACAATGCTAAAATCCGAGATAGACAATTTTGAACAAGAAGTAAAAGAAACGTTAAGTTATCACTATTGCAATTTAAAGTAAAATTAGTACAGTACGAATTTCCAAACAGTGATGCATATGCGGTAGGGAAAGTCGAATGCTCGTCGCAAATGCAAAATGTGAAAGATGGAAATAAAAAAGAAAGACGTTGGAAAGGCTATAGAAATCAAGAAATACAAACTCAAAAGTAAAGGTGGAAAGAAGGGGTGGGACGTACCTGGAAGCCGCCGGCGAGCGCGGAGGGCAGG